CCAGACCCACCTAAGGTTCGTATAATTCATCAGCAATAAAATATTTTGATAATAATCTAGAGAAAGAAGGTATGATAAGCATAATGGTTTAATATTGTACTGATACCCCCATCGTTATTCTACATGTTCTATATAATAAATCATTTTCTGTTGAAGTGCAGACACTTCCTAATTTTCTTCCACTAAATGGCTTTATCTTGGACCAATGAATCTCCAACGTAACTCTCACTGAATATCTGTAGTATCCCCCCTTCCCGCGTGATAATTTTTGGGTATTCCACTTGCTGAACGGAAAGCCTGTCGTCCGCCCCCTAGGGTGGGGCAAACATTACATCCGCAAGGAAATAGTTTCCCCCATGCGACATAGGCTAATTTTCCCCCTTTAGAATGCCATGAGCGAACTCATCATCCCATCCCACGTCTGATGTGGCAACTATTTTTGCGAAGTTCGCCGCGCCGCCATTATGTCGGCTCGGTTAGACATTCAAAATAGTGATTCAGTCTGTGGACAAAATCATATCATGACCCATCTGCACCAGGACTTTTTTGATGCAGGACAAAACTAAGCATTACGTAGTAGGATGAAATTTGGGGTTCCATCACCATTAATCCCAGGAAACTAATAGGCCCAAGTCAACAACAATCAGATGCATTTGGGACTACCTACCATTCACCTTAAGCATACAAACTACATGATCCAGTGCTTTTGGGGATGACCAATCGTCGGAATACGTGATATGGACTCCCCCTGCGCAAAAGGGTCATTACCCAAATTACTTGGAGTTTACCTGATGCTCTCACCTGCCTATAGAAATGCAGCGAGGGACTATGGCCAAAAACCCATGTTGGACCCCACGAAAGTGTCGGCCTCCCTACAGGGCCCCAACGAACGCCCCCCCCCCCTGCTTCAATGCACAGAGCTCGTACATGGAAAGTGCGGCCCCGGTCCTAGGTTCCTAGACAACCTTCCCTCATCACCTTATTTCCCCTATCTATGCACCCCATTCTGACTTTTAGTATCTGCCTGTGGATGATGATGCACTGAATAATTAAGGGAAGTCACTTCCCCACGGCTTTTCAAAACACAACTGTAGACTGCCCGGGACTTCATGCGGTCGTTAAACCCAGGAAAAGTATATGTTACGCAGTTAACCGGGACTGGAAATAACCCAAACACGACTTAATTGAGTTATGTATCTTATTTGCCTAGGGCTCTAAAATCTTCCAGCCTCGTAGAGTAAGCCCCCGAAAAATGGAAAGTCAAGTTGGAAACTTCTAATAGCGCCTAATGATTTGAAGTTTAATGGCTTTCATCCCGTTAACAAAAACCCATTCAATGTCCTGTCTTTTTAAAGTGAATATGATAACGGAGTCAGATCCCTCTTATTTCATAAATAAAGCAAGAAAAAGTTGGTCCCTTGTATTCATTGTCTCAGAGAAAGAGGAGAGAGAGAGACGGACACCGAGGAGAGAGGAGAGATCGATATGAGAGATGCTGAGGAGGATCGAGCTCTCTAGACACGCTACGTGACCGCGCTCCGCACCCCCCCTCCCCCCCTGACCCCCCCAGCCCGCCGACCCCCACACCTCCCACCCTCCTCCACAAACGCCTCCGCACCGACGCGCACACCACGCAGCGCGACCTAACGCGCACGACCCCCCCCGCACGACCGACGACCCCGGAGAAGGAGATGAACGAATGAGTGGCGCGGGAGAATTACGAGAGAGCAGAAGAGTAGAGGATATTTATATAGAGTAGAACGAAGATAGTATATATTATAAAGAGAAAAGGACGAAGAGACATATATATCAGACGAGAAGGAGAAGAGGGAATTAGAGGAAGAGAAGAGATAGGTAACGAGATAGAAGACGAGAAGAGAGAGAAGAGAAGAGAAGAGAAGAAGATAGAGACGAGAAGAGAGAGATAGAGAGAGATAGAAGAGATAGAGAGAAGAAGAGAGAGAAGAGAAGAGATAGAGAGAAGAGAAGAGTAGAAGAGAAGATAGAGAGATAGAAGAGAAGAGAAGAGAAGAGAGACAGAGAAGAGAAGAGAAGGAGAAGAGAAGAGAAGAGAAGAGAAGAAGAGAGAGAAAGAGAAGAGAAGGAGAAAGAGAGAGAGAGAGAGAAGAGAAGTGAAGAAGATGAAGTGAAGTGAAGTGAAGTAGAAGTGAAAGAGAAGTGAAGAGAAGAAGAGAAGAAAGAGGGAGGAGCAAGAAGAGAGAAGAGAGATAGAGGGAACGAGGGACTAGAGAGGGAGAGAGAGAGAGAGAGAGGAGAGAAGAAGCGAAGAGAAGAGAGTAGAGTCAGAGAGTACAGAGTACCAGATCAGAGTACAGAGTAGAGAGTAGAGAGTAGAGAAGTAGAGAGAGAGAGAAAGAGAGAAGAGGAGAGTAGAGAGAGAGAGTAAGAGAGTAGAGAGCAGAGAGAGAGAGAGTAGAGGAAGAGAGGAAGAGAGAAGAGAGAGAGAGAGAGAGAGAGAGAGAGAGAAGAGAGAGGAGAGAGAAGAGAGAGAGAAGGAGAGAGAGAGAGGAGAAATGCCACAATATCTCTGGATCATCAACTGACTCCGTCATCAGTAACCTCAGCCCCTCAGCCATCATGTAGCCAATTCGGGTCTTTGTTACTTCGACACTTGGATGTTTACACATGAGTGAATGCAGTAGTGGATTATAATGAGTACAGTTGACAAACTGGCTCTTGGATAAATGTGACTGGACCAGCTTCCACTACAGATTAAGACTGTTGAACTGGTATGAATTACTGAGTGAAGATATTAAGGGTCTGGTATCCAACATAAATGATATCTAGTAAGACACTATATCAGAGATATAAATGGCAAGGCAGATCAACCATGGTTTGGCTATCAATCTCACTGCTACTGGCCAGAAAAGCACACGCTGGTGTCGATAGATGCAGCATCCAACCAACCACAACAGACGTCTGTACGAGATGGAATGCAAGACCATGCAAAATATGCATACGAGGGCGATCGAACAATGGAAAAAAAGACCTGCAACAAAAGCTATCTGGTCGCGTTGTTGGTAATAAAGGATGGCAGTCCTATTTAGAGCAGCAAGGCCTGCTTCAGGAAATTATACCCCTAGTAACAAAACCTGTTTAATCTATATCAATCTCAAGTAAAGAAATGGTCCAGCTGTTTGCCACTCACTTGTCACATGAATGCCCCTGACCTTGACCTGGTTCCACCATCTATCCTTCTATACACTATAGCCAAGCTGTGCATCAACATTAAAGCAAATGAACTCAAGAAAATCCTTGCACAGTTAGCCATGAATAAAGCTATGAATGCTAATTAGCTGTAATGATTAACAGGCTGAGCCCTTGTGTAGGCTTTACAACAACTGCCTGGGAAGAAAGAAGTACCCATGTATGTGAAAAATTACTTGTGTTGCGGCAGACCAAGATCTGAAACAACAGATCCAACAATTATAACCCCATACGTTTCAGACACATGAAGTGGAGCAAGTGGCAGGTGATGCTCATTGCACATTAGTGGAACCTGGCCTCCTTACCAACACTAAACACCCTACTCCATAAAAGTAGAGTTCAACAGTGGCACAACATACACCCATCTTGTCTAGCTGCCTGAAAGCTTGGATGTACACAAGGTCAGACCTCCAGCTGCAGTCATTTCTGTCTAGATATGGACAGCTGTGGAACACCATGGTCAGGAAAACTTGCCTTCATCCATAACATCTCTACAACAGTTTCAAGTCAAGGTAACATCTGTCCTCTCTACCAGTAAATGACATGATTTTCTTAACTGATCTTTAAATCAATGTTTTAATATTGTTTTATCTTTCCCATTCTATTTCCATTTTTTTAGGGTTTAATTTAATTATTAAAAAGTTCTTTTATTTAATTTTACCTTGGTTATGTTTTTGTTTATTTTTCTACCATTATTTTTACTTAACCATTTTCAAAGAAAATACATTGACAAAGCACTTATCACAGAATATCAACAAGATTGACCAGGTGCACTGTGAGATATCAGATACAGCTAGATACATAACTGTTTGTATAATTTACACAATACTGTTATGATTTCCAGAAGTAAAATGAAATCACTTCTTTTATTTAAAATAATAGAGTTCCTTACCATTAACAGCTATCTGAATACCCTTGGGAAAACATCAATTTTATTTTTGGATTCAACAGGCCAAATGGAAATGGAGTTGCCTGGTTATATGTACCTTATACAAGCCTCATTACTCTTAGGACTCAAAGTAAGAGGGAATGCTATATGAGAAGATTATGTTAAGCCCTGTTGTCTTCTGCAATATAAATTGTTTTAATTGTGGAAGGAGAAAAAGTTATCAGCACAATGGCATCATTACTATCAATGATATCTTGCACGTCTTTCTCCTTGGCCAAATCAAAAATATAAATGATGACCAACCTGGATTAAAGTAACAATCAATACCCCCCAGAAATATATTTTGTAGCAAGGCATATCTTACATGAGGACTTTTTTCAAAACGGATTTTAAAAATGTTAATATTTGGGGAGACAGCTTCTCAATTTTAGGATCAATAAGGTTACATTTATTCATCCATTTGAAATAACATCTCAAGTATCTAGATTTTCTGGCAGATTACACTAAATTTTTTTTACTAGTACAAATCTGTATTGAATTCTGCAAAGTGTATAAAAGGGATGAATGAAAATGAATATTTTCACAATACACGAGATGTATTTCACGTTTCAAATATACCTTCGTCCGAAATACATGTATTTTTGACAAAGATATATTTGAAACTGGTCCAATTTATCCTTTGTATTGTGAAGGTGTTCATTCTCATTCAAAGCAAAAACCCTCTGCCTTCAGCCCATATTCCCTTTACTTCCCCACCAACCCTGATTTTTTCTCAATCAACAAACAATGGCAATTATATGTTGAAAAAGCATTAGAATAAAATGTTTTCAATGAAGACAAATAATCTTTATCTATGAATGTTAATAAAATGATACAATAAGAATAAAGTTCTAGTAGCGCATGCAGCAAGTTTTATTAGAATAAATAGTCATGTTTGTATGCAGTTATCCATTTGTAAAATATAATACATAACAAGTAATTACTTCAAATCATCTCTATAAATCACTGAACAGTTAATTAAGGCAATGCTTATCATTTTACTGCAATTTCAAAATGTAACTCTGAAAGGTAGTAAGTATGGTGTGTATATTTTACCTGAATTATCAATTTTCCTAATTTTGCCTTCTCCTGCAATGCCAAACCAGTTTAACACTTTCTTAAAATTATAAACATCAGCATGGCTTCATTTCCTTTTCATAGCAAATGTCCTAGTTTTCATATGTAAGTCATTCCTTTGTTATACACATATAAAAATGATACACTTGCTTGCCCTTGCACTAACAAGACAAGATATGTTTTTCAAAGAAGATGAAGACAATGTTCCATTATCGTATCATATAACTGTCTTCTGGTCTCACTGCACGATTATGGATATTCCTAATTCCACTTCCTGTACTCAACACCATCCGGGGGCTTGACTTCAACTTTCTGATCCCCAACCTCCTTCCAATTTGTGCTTAGGACTGTGCCTCCAGATTCCATCTAAGGGGAGAAAGGTTTGCTTCAGGAGTGTGTTTATTAACATATATAATTCAAATATACATATATATATATGTGTATGTGTATGTGTGTGTATGTGTGTGTGCGTGTGTGTGCGCACATGCGTGTGCATGCGTGTGTATGTGTGCATGTGTTTGTGTGTGCGTGGGTATACATCTATAGATATATGCATATATATGCACACACACACCCACACTATAATACACACATTTATTATGTATATGTATGTGTGTGTGTGTGTGTGTGTGTGTGTGTGTGTGTGTGTGTGTGTGTGTGTGTGTGTGTGTGTGTGTGTGTGTGTGTGTGTGTGTGTGAGTGAAGTGAGTAGTGAGTGAGTGAGTGAGTGAGTGAGTGAGTGAGTGAGTGAGTGAGTGAGTGAGTGAGTGACGTGCGTGCGTGCGTGCGTGCGTGCGTGCGTGCGTGCGTGCGTGCGTGCGTGCGTGCGCGCGTGTGCGTGTGCGTGTGTGTGTGTGCGTGTGTGTGCGTGCGTGTGCATGTGCGTGTGCGTGCGTGTGTCTGTGTGTGTACATTTGTGTGTGTACGTGTGTGTTGTGTGTGTGTGTGTGTGTGTGTGTGTGTGTGTGTGTGTGTGTGTGTGTGTGTGTGTGTGTGTGTGTGTGTGTGTGTGTGTGTGTGTGTGTGTGTGTGTGTGTGTGGGTACATGTGGGTTGTGTGTGTGGTACATGTGTGTGTGGGTACATTGTGTGTGTACATGTGTGTGTGTGTGTGTGTGTGTGTGTGTGTGTGTGTGTGTGTGTGTGTGTGTGTGTGTGTGTGTGTGTGTGTGTGTGTGTGTGTGTGTGTGTGTGTTGTGTGTTTATGCGTGTGTGTGTGTTTATGCGTGTGTGTGTGTTTATGCGTGTGGTGTGCGCGCGTGTGTGTGCGCGTGTGTGTGTACGCGTGTGTACGCGTGTGTGTGTACGTGTGTGTGTGTGTGTGTGTACGTGTGTGAGTGTGTGTACGTGTGTGTGTCTACATGAGTGTTTGTACATGTGTGAGTGAATACGTGCATGTGTGTGCATATGTTTGTTTGTGGTTGGTGTGCGTGTGTCGTGTGTACATGCAAGCGTGCGTCCGAGTGTGATGTGTGTTGTGTGTGTATCCATGTGTGTCTGCCTGTTTGCACTTATATGAAGTATACTCACAAATGACTTATTCATAGCACGTTTTGTTTCTTCAGACCCTTGCCCATATATCTTCTGGAAAAGCTTATTGAGGGCGGCATCTCCTTCTAGTTTCTCATCCTCTTCCTCAGCTTTTAATTGTGCTTCTATCTTATCCCAGTCGTGTTTCTTAGATGATGATGTCGGGTATGAAGGAACCTTTGCATCTGATGAGGTTGCTGAAAGTAGGGAACATAGGGCCTTTTAGATTTTTTTAATAAATAGAAAAATAATAATGATAATAAAAATAAACAAATAAATATAAATATATTTATCTCTGAGACAAACAACAGACATGCACCTACATGTGGAAGCATGCACACGCACACATGCCCCCCCCCCCCCCACACACACACACTACAATATATCACTCTTTGTTCCTGTATTCAAAATTAAATAATCACCACATACTAGGCTTGTTTCTTCCTCTCAAACTCTTAATATACATAAAATTACTTCTTGTTATTATTGTCATTTCAAATTGCTGAAATTCGGACAGAGAAGTCTTACCTCCAGGAACTGCTTTAGGAACAGGTGCAGTTGCATCTCCTTCCAGGGCTACCCAACGAATGCAATCAACTTTCTTCACTTTACTCTACCTGCAACGCACAGATTTGGTATCATATGTACAGAATACATGTATTTTAGCTTATAAATCAGCAGCTTTACATCAAGAAACATAGTCAAACAGACTTCAAGATCCAAGACCAACAACACAAACAGACAGATAGAAATAGAAACAGAAACAGACAAACACACACACACACATTGCAATTGCATCTGCATGCATTTCAAAAATGGATACATATATATTTCACACTTAATAGAACTGAAGACATCAATTAAAATGAGTACTAGACTACCAATTCAATTCTTTTTCCAAGTAGTTGGGTACTACTGATTGGGAAAAAAGAACCTCTTATCTCTGAAGGTTTACTTGATGAATGATTTTTATATGGTTTCCTTGTCCTTTTATCTTAAATTTAACTACATAAAATGGTTTGCATTTCATGTTTGAAAAAGGTGATAACTGAAAGATGCTTTAGTGATGATACCTATATTATCATCATCATCATTATCATCAATATTACTACTTAGAATAACACTAAAATAATAATTATAATAAACATCACCACTACAATTATCATTATCATTATAATAAAAAAACAAAAACAAAATAATAACAATAATAACAATGATAATGAAACAATGACAGTAATAATAACAATGATAAACCATTACATCAATCTGAAGAATGCAATGTCAACATTTCAATCTTAAATTCTTATCACCATATCATCAATGAAATGTTGTTTTTTATTGACAAAAAATCCATCAATGAGAGCACATCCAAAATGTGACAGCTACTTTAGTAACCATGAAAATGAAAAAAAAATCTATTTATTGGAAGCATGCCATTTTTATTTGAAAGCTTATTGAGTGCAAATCAAGAATTAATGAAGTTAATCAAATCCCTATTGGTCTTTATGGGAAAGCGCTAACAAGGCATTCCTGGTGTTCCATGAAGAAAATGGTCTTTAAAAGTATCAGCTTATATAACTTGCTTGTGCTAAATGAAGAATAAATAAGGTAAGTCATAGAATGGTAAGTAAGTTAATATTGGTCATGAGCACAATAGTAACTATCATCACTGATGAAATGCTGCAAACTGATGCTGTGTTGGACAAAGTGTATTCCATATGGTCTACTGGGCATTTAAAGAGGGACACGAGATTTTACCAGAAAAATTGGTGAATTTCCCTATGCCCAAGACAGGAAAAATTTTCCCAGTTAGTGTACACAATATATTTACAGAATCTGCAAAGAAACCCTTACTATCACCTAACTCTCATACAAAAAAATTAATCAAAATCTGGATTAAGATTCAAGTATCCTGGGTCCTAATTCACAAAACAAGATCTTAATTTTTTAGAAATAAATAATGGCTGTAAACCTACTCACTTTAGAGGTGTAGACTCTAAATGATGATTCAGAAGGGTTGATGGGATGACTAAGATCCAATTCCAAACTATATTCAGAGCCTCCTGGCAGGGGTGCACTCACGCTGACCTGAACGGGGTAAATGAGAGATTATTTCACTGGAAGCTTTCCTCTTCAAATATCAGAAAGAGGAGCATAGATTTTTTTTTTCTAGTTCCCAGGTACAGTATTTCAACACTATTTCTTATCAGTCAACAAAACCTTTTATGGTTTGAATTTGTATCCTCTCTAATTTGATTCATACATTTAAGTCATTAGGGCTTTATGGCTTTAGGCTTTAGGGATCATACTCAAAAAATATTTTGCAATGAAACAATTTAAAATACTTCAATGACACTACTTCGGTACTCTTACAAGACACTTACTGTTGTCTCTGTTGTGTCTAATTTGACATCCTCCTTTTTCATGTTCTTTATGAGGATAGTGATGACAACGTGTGTATCCGTCTGATACCAATCATGTTTGATTTTGGGAACTGGCATAGTATTGGGGTCTTGTGTACTGGTGGCTGCATTTTCAGCATTAGCCATTGTGCTCTCTGAAATCAACAAAAGAAGAAAGTTTTGTATGAAGTCATAAAATTAAAAATTTAATCACTAATCTTTAATTATGCAAAATTACCATGCACTAGCTAAAATACTAAACTATTTCCCCAAAGAACGAAGTATTTTATATTCTATCCGTAGCCATTTTGACTATGAAGTCACTAATTGGTTACATATAATTATGACAATTCTAAAAACACACAAGAGAATAAGTATATGCCTTACCAGCTTTACTTTGGACGCTTTCTGCAGGATTATCAGAGAGTCCTAACTTCTTAATCCGCTCCTCACACCAAGCTGTCCACTGCCCAAACTGGTCAAGCTTTCCAGAGTAGGAACCTAAAATAGGATGAATTGTGGGATTAACACATTTCTTAAATTTTCCTAATATGCTTAATGAAACTATTACCCATGCAAATACATGGATGCACTTGCACTCTCTCACCTTTGTATGAATGAAGATACGCACATGCGTGCGCATGTGCGTTTGCATGTGAGTGTATGTGTGTGTGTCTGTGTATGTGTATGCACATGTAAGAATGTGTATTATGTATGTGTATGTGTGTGTGTATGTGTATGTGTATGTGTATGTGTATGTGTGTGTATGTGTATGTGTATGTGTGTGTATGTGTATGTGTATGTGTGTATGCATATGTGTGTGTGTGTGTGTGTGTGTGTGTGTGTGTGTGTGTGTGTGTGTGTGTGTGTGTGTGTGTGTGTGTGTGTGTGTGTGTGTGTGTGTGTGTGTGTGTGTGTGTGTTTGTGTTTGTGTTGTGTTTGTGTGTATGTGTATGTGTATGTGTATGTGTATGTATGTGTATGTGTATGTGTATGTGTATGTGCATGTGCATGTACATGCGTATGTGCATGTGTGTGTGCAAGCGTGTAAATGTGTATGAATATATGTATGCATGTATGTATGTATGTATTAGTAATAATATAAATATATTAAATATATATATATATATGTCATACCACGATTCAGCCTACTAGCACTACTCTCCTCTACCTCTCGTACCAGCATATATACACTGTACATATCTATATAGAGTATCATACTACTATATATACCGATACCCTACTCATTACCTCATTACATCTACCTACCCTACATAGTATTACTGTCATATCATAATCATTACCTGCCACATGACCTGTACAAGTACTGTACATACATGCCTAGCTGTATGTACTGTAACATGTAATGTGTATTGTCCATACTGTATGTCAACCTGCTGTTATGCTATAGCCTGGTTAATGACTTATGGTGTATGTCATCTCTTGATATGTACTGCTCAATGTTCTGTATTATGTATCTATGCTATGTATAGCCTAACGCATTGTACTGACTGTCATGTCACTGTGCTGCACACTATACATTTTACTACATATCCAGATATATACAAGACATCCCTTATATTTGCTCGATAATGGGATATACTGTCTATACCTATGTGATGATCATGTCAGTGACATGGAAGAGATCTCATCCCTCTACGCGCCCCCCACTGCATGCATGCTCCCACTCGGCTCATGCGACCTCGCGACCCCCCAATGTCCTTGCAAGACGACCGCCCCAAAGCCCGACCACATCGCAATTACATATTACTACCCACCTCTGCCTCACTCAACGTCATTATACCCTACTACTTGTCCCCAAACTCTTATTTACATTCTCATCTAATCTATCCCATTCTAACCCTACTACACCATCGCTCCATACATATATATCGCTATTCCCTACTAGTTTCTAATCACCATTCACCTTCACATCAATAATCATTCGCTATATCTAACAACACACACACATCACATCATACGTAAAGGTATATACACTATTATACTATACCTACAGATATACCTAATACTAAACTACTATCATGATACTCTCTCTAACCTTCGCTATCACTACTACATCTACGTATTAACTTCACTAGCAGATCCACACGCCATCCCCTCCGCTAGTACATCCCCCTACTATCATTTTGTGCCCACTGCTACGCGCGTGTGCGTGCTCACAACAACCATCGCCATACTCACTTAATCATGCTAATACCTCCACTCCATAACTTCACATCTACACTATCCATTATGTCTCACACTTACTTCACTTTATCGTCACACTGACATTACTAATCATGCAAACACTCACCAATACCTCTCTCCACTGCACTTCCGCACTCTATACTCACCCTTCAACTCATCTAAGTCCCCGCTATCCAGTATATTGCTAATATAAATACACTGTAATTATACATATATATAGCTAATTATTATATATGTAAATATAATATATAATAATATCGTAAACACCGTACGATACTTAACCACCCACGAGCACCGACTCAATCGGTATACAGTTACATCAATATAGAGATTATCCATTACTCGATCACCGCTTCCCACACTACGACCACCACCCTCCATCTCATCCGTACTCACTCTACACCAAGCAACACTCATAATCACATACTCCTTACGTATCTATCACTCAACAATCGATAAACAAGGCTACTAATCCACTTCCGACATCGTAAAGCTCATGACCATATATCTATATATCGAATATATATATATGTAATATTAAGTATATATATATTAATATATATATCTATATATTTATTATATATATGTAATTATGTAATTATTTATATATATATACTATATATATATATATTTTTTCTTTTTTTTTTTTTTTTTTTTTTTTTTTTTTTTTATATATATCGTAATATATATATAATAATATCATATTATATACTATTATATATGTATACCTCACGTCTACTTATTACTACTTAAGGGTAGACTCAGGCCACATTCATCCGATTTAAACGGCTAACCTTTCACCTTAATATACCCTAAAGTTTATATATAACTGTCCAATCTAGTTACGCTACTGCTATATCACTACTACTATGTTTCTCATCGCCATACTGAAATTATAAGCGCCCCAACCAGATGCATCTCCTCACAATACCAACGACACCTGATACGCTATCCCACCCCATACACCTGTCACGCTACATCTACTACATGCAGCCGTCAGCAATACCGCTGATTACGCGATCGCTCAGGTATAAATATAAACATTCATCCGACTACCTGCTATACAAGTCAGTGTGTAAACGTTAGACTATCAACACTAGCTAATACGACACCACTATAAGCATATACAACACTCGCTAACGCTAATACTAGGTCATAATCCCAACTACTACAACTTCACGACCTTCGTATAGTACCATCAGCTCAACGCTTAAAGTATCAATACGCTTCGTACATCACACTCCAAACCACTACGACACGTAGCATATCTACTTGTATCCAGCCTATATATATACTAAAGTACTGCACAGCAATACTCTCAATCACGAATAACCTTATACATCTAACCACTCAACTACACCTGACTACTACATCGCTTACCTATTATATATCCATCTTCACCTGTCAACAAACATCCTACACTAAATACAACACCTATGATAGATAACAACATCTAGTACTACAGTATATAGTAATCTAGTACCACCTAAGCTATATAATCGTATATATCGCTACACTCTACATGACATTGATCACATACTTCTCCTACATCACTACTATCACCGCGCAATCACTACCATCACATATATATATATAATCTATGTATATACTGTTAGACCAACTCATTACACTCTGATTGGAATTCTTATAATATTCATTATAATAATGTGCAAATCACCCCGCACTATATATTACTCTCCCCATCAAGACACCTCAGCCGCTCCACTCACACGTTCTATTAATATCTATCATTATCATAATATCAAACTCATCATAATTCCAACGCTCCCGTCACCACTCTATTACTCAACTTACTCACTATCCAAATACCATTACTTACCCTTCACTCCCTATCAACTAAATATACAACCCAGCTCAGCCCACTCATCTCATATACCCTCATCACCTCATCATCTACCATCCATCGTATGTCTGTCAACAGACCATATACGCTACTAATACTATACTATTACTATACATCACATATATATATATACCTAACATAATATCTATAACGATAATATTATATCGTGTAAGAACTATAATATCATGTATAGATATACTACTCCAATAATATACCTCACATACTAATAACTATAACATGAACTAAGATCTTATGTATATATGCAACTACACCTCATCACAGCTTATCTACCTCACTAGAGCCTCCTATCCCTACGTCTCTACCTTAGCGCCATATTACAATCCACGAGTATGTCACGTGAACATACGACGATCTATGACTCTGCTAAAGTATTTCTCTAATACCTATAACTAATAACTATATAGCCACTAGTACTATTAGTAATATTCATTACTTATTATTAACTATACTCTAAGATCACGTGATATACCCTTACAATATATCAGCGGTATGTGAACAGTGCATACCCGTGATATAGTTCTACTACTATACGCCTAATCTATACTTACATACTAGTATGTCATCGTATCCGCTCACCTCACAATTCACTTCTAACATACCTTAACCATAATAACGCAATAAATCTTTGCTCACAGATACCTTACTGCTAGCTTAACTCACGTCATATCAAAATCCCATACTCACCATTCTCTAATTACGCCAAGTCATCTTAACACGCTATTCACCTGTACAATTAACGATCCTTCAAGATCTACTATACATACCCCGTAATACCACTGAATATATTCACAATATCCAACTACGCTATATCCCATAACCTAAAGATACTTTAACATCATTATAAATATATATTATAACAATATACATCCCGATATCCCAACTTACTATGTACCGTCCATCTTACTACCCAAGAACTCTGACAATTAACCGCTCTCGATCGACCGAACCTAGTACCCATATCTATATCAAATTCACAATCGAATCGCTCCATACCACCCTCCCTGTTATCACGTCTCATAATCACGATCACATATCGACCGAACCTACACAACACTTACCACAGCACCCTCGATATCTTCTATGACCTAAATATACCTGAACAATCTGATAGTCATCATAAACCTCTATATAATACAATCTTCTTCAATATATAAAGATCCCGTCACGCCATCCCAAGATGCTAAACCATAGGCGACCAAACCTCTGCGAGACGTCAAAGCTATGCGTCATTAAGATTGTACCGTTTACGACCATATTATCTATGGCTTTCCATCAGTCTCTCATGATGGCGGCTGAAGTGATCTTCCTCTACCGCGCCACTCGTCCCTCTAATAATATCTCGCCCTATCACATGACCCGTATATAGAGCAGTCTCTACTATCCTATCAGAATAATACACTAACTGCCATCATACCAACATTACAGCTTATGCGCCTTCTACGATATCATATAGCAAATATCAAACACTATATATCACAGACAAATACACCCAGTCAGACCAGTACAGAGGAGACAAGGTACTTTTTACTCTGTGGAGTGGTGTGGTTTGGGGAATGAGATCAGGGTTATGCTTTGATTATACTTTCAATATAAGAGTAAAATACAATGCACTATATGAAGATGGAATATGTCAATGAGATCATGGTATGCTTGTTACCCCTTTACTACATAAATATATTTAGATATATATTCCTAGTTTAAAAAATAATAATAACTGCCAGCGAAGGTATTGACAACCAACCTCCTTTTTCTTTGCCCTTCTTGAAAGTGTCTAAAGATTCCAGGTACTGTCCTAAATTGAAGAGCGCTTTCCCATGGACCATATGAGCTTCGGCCCCAGAGCCAAATTCTATTGCCCGAGCTGCATCACTTGCTGCTTCTGAAGATTGGAATGATATGGTTACATTTTTTTGTTGATATAAATATAAAGATATGAGTGAAAATAATCATTTTTAAAAAGAGCACAGATATATGTAAGGATACACATACATTATAAAATTAAGAGTTCAGGGGGCAATAGCTAAGAGAGAAGTTGCAGACAAAGCAGCAATGTCCTAGTTATTTAGATCAACATTTGAAGACAAAATAAATGATCAAAAGGTACTATATTAAATTTGCATTTACTATTGTGCTATTAATCTTTTAGTTCTTGTCTACTTCATACTATACCTTTGAATTTTTCGAGTTTTAGTAGGTTTTGCGCTCTTAAAAGGAAAAGCTCATGGCTATTGGGATTCCCTTTAATCTCGGCAGTTAATCGCTGAAAGGAAAATCACAATGCCATCTCAGTGCTTAAACAAAGAATATGTAATTTCATAAATATATAATTAAAAAGCTTATAAAAAGTCATATTACAGTGCATTACAATATTGCTCCATGAAATTATGTGAACTGCATCTATATTCACTCAATGCGAGTTTTATAAGGCTATCTGTATTTGCAGCCGGAGTTATGGCTTACGTGGAAAGTCACAGAAGGAAAATAATATGAATATGAGAAAAGAAGAAGAGTGAGGCAAAGGTGAAGAGAACAGAAGGGAAAACGAAAGGGAGAGGGGAAGAGCAAGAGACAATGGAGAGGGAGAGAATGAAAGGGAGAGGGAGAAGAGCAAGAGACAATGGGAGAGGGAGAGAAAGAAGGGGAGGAAGACACAGGCACAAACACAAAGAGAAAAGAGAGAGAAAAGAGAGAAGAGAGAGAGAGAAGAGAGAGAGAGAGAAGAGAGAGAGAGAGAGAGAGAGAGAGAGAGAGAGAGAGAGAGAGAGAGAGAGAGAGAGAGAGAGAGAGAGGAACATACCTCTACAGCTTGCATGTACAACCCATCTGCTTGGAGTTGACTCACTTCCTGTCTAATTCAGAAAACAATAATACCCACAGATTACTAAATATTCTCTCTCTCTCTCTCTCTCTCTCTCTCTCTCTCTCTCTCTCTCTCTCTCTCTCTCTCTCTCTCTCTCTCTCTCTCTCTCTCTCTCTCTCTCTCTCTCTCTCTCTCTCTCTCTCTCTCCAGATGTATAAGCATAAAAACACATATAGACAAAGTTATAAAAAATAAAGCAAATCATCCACATTCTGAGGTCAACAACTGAAAAAAAAAAAATAATAATAATAAAAATAATAATAAATAAAAAATAAAAAATAAAAAAAAAAAAAAATAAAAAAAATCTGTGGTGAAACATTACAATACACTTCACCCTTAAAACTGCAAATCCTCTGGTTTGTATTTCCCAAAGAGCTATAAAGGAAACTACAGAATATCCCCAATAAATGTATTCAGACTAGTTAATATATCATCTTGAATTTTCAGTTGACAAGATATCAGCCAAAATTTTTTGACATGATACGTAATTAGTTCATAAAGCAAGGATGATAAATCATTTACCTTTAAAAACTGTGCAAGACTACTTGAATCTGTTACCAAATGATTCTCCAAAAATACTTGTGGGTAATAATGAACAGAAAATTAATAGACAGGGACAATACCTCTATCTACTAGCAATGAGAAGAATTCAAGACTAAAACAGATAAAGACCTAGCTAAATAACAAAAAAGCTGAAACTTATTAAAATCTTCAAGTTGGCAAGAATACTTCAAATGAAAAATGTCCCTTTTGTTTATCACAGACATTTTAGGCCCTTCATGCTCATGTACAATGTAGCACATACAGTACAAGTGGAAAGATCAAAATATTTGTCCAAAGAATTATTTCAATGACAATCACTTTTCCTACTCCATACCAAGCCATGCATGAAAAATCAGCCACCCAATGAAAAAATCACAAGCATGGAAAGCAAACAATTTCCCCACTTTCTACAATTTTGGTAACAGCATATTCAGTTTTCTGATATAGGATGCTAAATAGCGACTTTCTTTGAGGGACAGTAACTCTTTAATAAATACAGTCACAGCTAAACAATTGAAAAACTGTTTAGTACACACAATTCTGAGTAGGATGAACCATTCAAAGAATGGAGGGAGGTACATGCACCCTCCAAGAATGAGTCCAGTCATAACATGGCACAGACTTACAAGCCTCACATTACAATCAAGTTAAATTACAAACTGAATTAGATTTCAATAGCTCCATTTCACTAAGATATCTTTTTTAATTTTCTAAAACATTACATTATATACCCAGGATGCCAGTCATGGCAAGTGAACTATGACTAGATGAAAGTAAATAATTACAAATAAGCAGCTACAATTAGTAGCACTAACAATCTACCTTGATTTATGTAACATACTAACTTTCATATGATCCTTACAAAGTCTTTGAACTAATTCTTTCTGACTATACACTTCCCAGCTCTCTCTCTCTGTAAGAGACAACCACAACTAAGAAAGAGTAAACAAAGCAGAGAAAGGACCTGGCATGCTGCCAAACCATTACCATACACAGACATAGAAAGAATAATGAATCTGTAATGTGAAGTAATTTACCTGTATGCTAATATTCATATGCTAATTTCATCTATCAAGAAACAGGAATAAAATCTTAACAATGACTATTTCACCATCCTGTATATATCATTTCTCTCTTTATGAGTGACATGACATTCCCTTTTCCTTTTCTTTCTTCCCTTTTTTCATCTACTTGAGGAGAGACAATGTATATAAGTTAAAACTTGATGTGATGAATACTTCATGCAAATTTCTTATATGTCAATATGAAAAATTTTCAGTATACTATCTACAGGGACATAATATAGCAAACATTAATTTGAACAAGTTTCTATACACTGATGTCTAAATATCAAAATAAAGCCATCCATATAGCAACTTTTTTGCAATATCAAACTGTTGGATCTGGGTGTCTGCACACACGCGTGAACCAAAAGCCAGGCATCAGGCTTCCCTGAGTATCTCGTCTTCCAAGTGTGGGGCTTGTAGGCCTGGCCTGCACACACACACTCATGCCTGGTTTCAAGACTCCTCACCTCCTCTTGACAATGCTATTAACCCTTTTTCTGCAGCCTCATTTTTGTTGTTCGGTCAACTTCCATGGTCTTTATTCGACACTAGCTATGTTGCACTAAGATAATAACAGACTGAGCAGACTATCTATAGGGGTAGTTTATACTCTGTGCAAACACAGTAATAGTAAGTAACACTGTGTTTTTATCTTCTACCTTTACATGATATTCAATTTTCCAAACTACACCCTAAGCCATCTGCAACAGATGGCAGGAGTAGGTTCCTATGTGTGGACATCATCTCCTCCCTGGAAATGGCCTCTTCCAGGAATGGTTAATGGAAGGTAAACTTTACCCTCATTAACCAATGGAAATCCTTCAAGAGCTTGTGAATGAGCCTCTTTCTGAAGGCCCACTGCCCTGATTTTTTCCATGTCAAGCTTTTCCCATCAGCCCCCCAGAAAAATTTCTTCATGGCAGGATGTCCACGTCACCCTGATCCAACAGATCAGGAACTGCAACATATCGATAACTAATATCTCAAATCTGAATATATCCTTGAAGAACAATTAATTGCTAATCAACTGTAACTAACTTGCTCAGTAAGTCACAGCACCCTAATGCTGATCTAGTGTTCAGAATGTCAAGGCTCTGGTGAAGATATGTTGTCCCTAAATATTCCTTGGACACAGGGGGAAATGGCAACTTATAGACCCTAATCTAATTCTTTGGTTTTCAGGACACTTTTCAACTTGAAATGTATCATACACCTTCTCCTCCCCTTTCTGGAAAGTGGAAAAAGCCTGGAGCTGGAGAGTTATTATGAATAAGAGACAGAGTAATGGCTCACAAAAATAGAAAAATACTAAGGATAATTCTTCAAAGTATAGACACACTCGCCATAGACTAAGTCCCCAACTCCACGTCACAAAATCTATTCATCAATCTAAGTTGCCATGACTGGGCGATTGCCTGAGGGAAGGATTGATGGGGGGCTCTGCCACTCAACACCCCCCCAAGGAACCATTGTCTTCAACTCATATGCATGGCAAGAAACTCGGGAGCACCAAATGTACTTAGGCTGAGCAGAGTAGGCCTAAAAACAATGTGAAGAGAAGTCTACCTATGACTAAAAACAATGTGGAGGAGTCTACCTATTTTTACATATGTTGAAGTTTCTCTGACTATTTAAGATACCCTATTTATTCTACCTATCTCTATAGTTATTACCCATGGTGGTTGAATGATCAGAAGATCATTATTAATTTTTCAATTAAATAAAGCTTATTCTAACATACAGTTAGTAAACTCTGGAATCACAAAGCCCAATCAAAAAGGGAAACTCGACTTAACATAATTTAGTTTTAAATAACAATAATCACAGAAATCTAATTGTTAGTCTCTTCCCTGTTAATACTATGCCCTCGTTTCCACACTGTTAAACTAGCAATGGCTGTTATACTCACAAAGACAGAGAAAGAGACATTTTATTGAGGACCGATCTCTGCTTCTGCACTCTTGATGTTTTGGTAAAACTTGGAAGCTTCTAGACAAGTTTATATTCGAAGGCAAGCTTTCATAATGCCCTTCTCGTAACTTCCCTTGTGAGTGTCATTTCGGCACGTAATGTTGCATTAATTAGATATTCATGATATCTGCATTATACTGAATTAAGTTATATAGAATTTAAAAGAATGTTTTGAAGATATGAAAGATGCACCCCCACTTCCCATTACGTTTTTCATGTGCATTATTTCACGAACAATAGAATTTAATTTAACTCTGCATTCTTCATTTACTACACGTTATCAACACCCAAAACGCAAATTA